AATTTGTCTTTTTTATTTCACAGCTTAGTCAATTTATGAGGGGGGCTGATAGGGTGGGCCAAGCTATTTAGAAGCATACTTAGACCCTGTGAAGTGAACTGCTGAGCACCTACCGACTTCCTGCAAGCAAATCTACTCCCTAGCTTGCAGGCTCAGGTCCTGCTCCCCACGCAACATTGAATTATTGTTCTTTTTAAAACAAAGTTCTCTCTTCTAATCAGTGTGAATGCAGCTTTTTAAAACTGTTCAAATTTTAAGATTAAACTTTAAAAATTCTAAGTTGGGTAAACTAAAAGCAGACCACTCTTTGCAGCTGATACACAGGTAGACCACTTGCTCATCAGCCAAATCCAGTCTCACAAACCTTTATACACAAGAGCAAAGATATACGTGAGTGTTTGCAGGATTAATACTCCAAGCTATGCCCGAGCTGTATATAATTATGCTCAGTGTTAGGAGAGCTGCCTGTGCTGGTAATATTTATGTTTTCACTTACTTGTGATAATCTTAGAGCTTCCCCTCATGGCATCTGACATTGTGGTGGTGGTTGCTGTGCACAGTGCAGAGACAAAGACATCTTGGGACTGTCATGTGCTACCCAGTGAAGGGTCTAAGGACTCCAGTGCCTTGGAGGATGATTTACATCAACAGAGTGGAGCTGCAGAAGGACTGGAAGCCATGGATGCCAAGCTGTCTGCCATCAATGCATATAGAGCTGAAACACACTGCATACCTTATTTAAGTCCAGAAAAAAAATATGAAGAGCAGGGAGATATTGATGTCCGACATACGAAGAGAAGTCTGTGTGTTCTTACAGCACTGAGGCACTTGTTCAGGCTAAGGATGGCCCCAGGTCTGGCTGAGGGGAGCAGAGCCAGGGAGACATTGATGCCCACAGCGCGTTCTCAGGCCGAGTGCTGATGGGTGGCACTGATGGGGTCAGGAGCAGGGGCTGCCTCCACCCACCCCACCAGCCCCAGCACATCTACACTGAGCTTGAACATCACACATGGGATTACAGCGGTTATAGCTGGAAATGCTGCCATGGTTAGAAACCCCTGTCAGATCGCCAGCCTCGTACATGACCAGAGCAGCCTCTGAAGGACTGCCAGAGCCTTCTCTGGAGTTTCTTACACTTGGAGGTCAGCTCTGGTGTGTGCTTGGCCATTGCTTATTTGAGACAATGAGAAGAATGTGTCATTCGGGAGATGAAAGGATGGCTTACAGTTCTTGTAGACATATAGCTAACTCTGCACCTTTCTCCACAACTCGTTTAGATCCCAGGCAGTCATCACACCTTCTTTTGCCAGTCTACTCATCACAAGTGGTTTTATGTATGCTCTTGCCAGTCACTGCCTGGAAAATCCTGTACAAAAACCTCTTGAGTTGACCCTGCATCTGGGGTCACAGCTTGCACCAACCATCCCACAGAGATCAACTGATCTGTTAACTATATGCATTTTTAAATTAAATTTTTACTTTTTTCCCCCATATTTTTTAAAAATCATAGATTTGAGCTCAGTTGCAGTTTAAGAATGGATTCAGTGGGAATTGACTGCACAAAGAGTTAACTCCTGGGTCTCCACCCAATGCTTCTAATGAATGGGTCAGAAATTTGTTCAAGAGACAGTCTGAGTAGCTCATGGCAATGAGTACATTTTATTTAAACTCTCTCCGAAGGTCTTTTCTAGTCTCACTGCTGAAAACATACCGCTTTACTATTTCAGCTACTGTCTGATCTTTCTAGCAATCTAGAGAAGGTAATAACTGCAGATTAGCGTTTCCCACACCCTATACAGAAGAGAGAAACCCTTGACATTACCATCAGCCCCTGACTATCTGTCTTCACTAGGAAAGAAGTGTTTTGCTGCTTCTGGTCATCAGCCAAAGCAGGCTCTGTGTCTCACAGTGTGATGCATTGCTGCCACTTCTGTCCCCTTTACTCTTTCCTTACCCTATATTTTGTACCGTATCTCCTGCTTTGCCAACTTTTCTTGTCCTCCTGACCCAGAAGTGCTGTTCTCAGCTATAAAGTATTTTGTCATGCTATAGTCACCATCACCTACAGCTCAAAGTAAATATGAGAGTCTTAGTATTGTGTTGATATAGAAGTCTGAACTTTTTCTAACGCTGAGATTCTGAATTTTTTACTTCTGAATTTTCAGAAGGAAAGTGAGACACAGGTCTAAGTTGGCTGTCAGATGCACATAAAAACTGTAGGCTGAAAAATAAACAAGAAAGAAAATAAAGGAGAAACGTATCAGGTCATTTCCCAAATTGGGCATCATTGGGAATCCAGAAGTGATGAGGTTTCACTTCTCAACCTGCCTGTATTTTGAGATTAGACTGAATCTGGAGCAGCACTTCCTTGGTCAGCCTTCTCTAGGACATCAGCAGAAGCTCAAGGGAAACAAATTCTGGCCGGCAAGGAGCAGCTGCCTGAGCGCACCTTGTCTAAGCAGTGTTTCCCCCTGAGATCCTCCAGGCGTTTCAACTGGCTGCTGAAATCAGAAGTAGAGGAGTAGCATTCACTGTTTAAGTGTCAGGAAAACGCCCGTATGCGCGTTATTCCATTTGGTTACAAAAGCCCTGTCACACTGTTTTGGTATCTGAAGCTCTGTCACAGAAGAAGCTCAAAAATTATCTAAGCTTCCCCTTAGCCTGGGGAGCCAGACAAGATTAATGATGCTTAAAGAAGTGAATCATTTATGGAAAAAGAGGGATAGTTTGATGCAGACGTGAGAAGCCTCTGCCACTTTATCAGTACTGCACAAGTGCCAAGGCACTTTCTACCTGGATCAATTCTGCCAGACACTTGCTTTGTTTGCCTTGTCATCTCCTAACTTCCAGTTTTAAAAAGCTGCTAAACTTTTCCCCCAAACAAGACAAACCTATAAAATAATTTGTGTAATATATTTTATGATCAGCTTGGCAGTGGATTCTGATTCTGCTTGTGCTAGTTTTATACCCTGCGCGTTGCATTTTGTTCCCCTGTAAGAAGCAAAAGAGCTGCTTGGTCTTTACAGTGTCGAGCATGTCAGATTAAAATGATTTCCTAGTGGTTTTTATTCTAGATCTGGGAAACAACTTGTGCTCGATCAGAAATACAACCAAAGGAAAAGCAGAATCAGATGCAAATTTCAAACTCTAAACATATTTTTGGTGTTGTCCGTTTTTTGGTGCTTCATGAAATGGAAGCCTGGTGTAACACGTTGTTCACCTCTGAGCAGGGAACTGGGGACTTCTTACTGAGCCTTCCCCTGTTCATCAGTGCATTTTCAAAGTGGTGTGCTTAAAATGGTGATGATATTGCTGAAGATAAACTGGAGGAGGGCCTAGAAAGGTGCCCTGGCTGGTCCTCATGGATTCCCTCTGGAGTGGGACCCCACTCCCACCTGCCTGCCCTGCCTCCCCTCGCAGCTGCACAGAAGCACTGAGAGCACAACTCGAAATGCACCGAAAGTCTGGGATTTCTATCCCATGTTCAGGGTTTCATAAAAAGCCACTAGTTCTAGAAAGCCTTATCTGCAAAGTCCACAGTCATAACAATTCAACATTTTATGATTTTTCTTCTTTTAAACAAGGGAAAACAAGCGATCCTTTGAGGAAGTCTGATACTTGACTATAAATTCTTCAGTAAACACAGTGCATCAATGGGAATATTGCCTATGCTAATAAAAGGGCATGAAGTTGCCCTTTACATCATCTTGTTTTCCATTTTACTTCCTTGCCATGAGGAAGTGAATATTTTTCATTAAAAGAACCGTGTAGTGACAGGTACAGAAATCTAGATCACATACGTGAAAGGGATGTAGCCGAGAGTGAAATGCTCATAGGATCTCTTTCCCAAGTGATTGTTTTTTTGTGGAATCCAATAAACAGCAGAAATGTGCTTGTTTCATGTATAATAAGCTATTGCCAGCAGTTGAGGTCTGCCAGAACTTAACTGGTGGGTGTCTCGCGAAGGGAAGCCGATCTTCCCATCTGCCCTTTCCTAATTAAAAGCCTCATTTTGATCCTATCGATGCAAGGGTCTGTGTTGTCATTGGAGAAGTAAGAGTAGGGGTAGGTTCTGAGTCTGGGAGGTCCAAGAATTTTTAAAGGACTGTTTGATAAACATGGGTGACCTCTGCAAACCTCCGTACGTTTTGAATTGGCCCTCTCAGCAGCACTGATTCCAAAAGCCTCGCAGATCCCATAGAATCCACACTTGGGAAGTCCATACACCAGAATACAATAAAGCTCCAAGAAGATAAATAAAATAATAGATTTAAAGCGATCCCCCCTCAAACAAACAGAAACCTGTCATTATAGACATATTGCACAAAATAACACTGACTTCACCACTTCCTCACAGCCCTCTTGTAAGGCTGTTACTTTGCCTTGCTCTTGTCACAGTAACTACAGATTAAAACTAAAACTTATTTCATTGATTTTGCACAGATGTCTGTGTTGAGAACTTTGTGACACTTACAGTATGAAAACATGCTCCAATTCAGCTAGAATGTTTTCAGAACAAGATTTCTAACAAGAGGTTGTTTTCCAGTAAAAATACCTTTTCGTGTATAATGAAATTTATAAAGAAAATGCCATTTCTGAGCTGATTTTTTTAAAAAGTTGTATAGGGATGATTTAGCACCCCCAAACCCAGCTATTTTCTTTTTTTTTCTTTCTTTCTCCTTGAGCTGGAGCACTTGCCACCCCAGCCTTTTGCTATTAAAAAAGTTTAGTTTGACAACTTCTAATACCATCTGGAAATACATCAATGAAGTTACCTAAATAGTACTTCACCTCCTCCTACCTTATGGAGAGCTATCATTTTAGAGAGTGAACATCCACAAAAATCAATACTTAGAAGAGCAGAGACCTGCTTATGCCTGCAGATTTACAGCACTTCTAATAATAGCCTTCTGCTGTTCACACTGCAGGAACTTGTTTATCTTTTCCTAACCAATGTCACCACGCTGTATCATGTATTTACAGCACTCTTTTTATTTCAGGTAGCAGAGAAGCAGCATTCACGTACGCCATCATCGCTGCTGGAGTAGCACATGCCATCACAGCTGCCTGTACCCAGGGCAACCTGAGTGACTGTGGTTGTGACAAGGAAAAACAAGGACAGTACCACAAAGAGGAAGGATGGAAATGGGGAGGCTGCTCTGCGGACATCAGATATGGCATAGGATTTGCCAAAGTGTTTGTGGATGCCCGGGAGATTAAGCAAAACGCGAGGACGCTCATGAACCTGCACAACAATGAGGCCGGGCGGAAGGTAAGCACCTGTGGTCCCTCCAGATGTGGGCTGGAGATGGGGTTCGGTCAAATACAGCGCTTGAGGACTACAGTGTGCTGTAGCAGTAACCTCACGTTACAGGAGACGAGTAGGCACCTTTGCAAGTTATACGAGCTTGTTGGACCATCTGTCTGTCAAATATTTGTCTAAATGTTACTCTTTACAGCTGTAAAAAAGCAAACAAACATTTTTATCTGGAAAGCCAACTGGTACTTACGATAAAAAGCTTGCCTGCTACTGTGTGGGTGAATGGGATTCTCATCAGGTTCAGACTTGAACTTCTCACTCCTTGGGAAAGGGATCATTTTCACCCAACTGTTTAAACCTTGCTCTTTGTGTGAGGACTACCTCTGCAAGGAGAAAAATATTTCAGCAAAAGGCCACAGGCTGACTCCCCATTACCCCATTGTAGGGATGTGGTTATTCGCTTTGCACTGCAGGATTCCCGCCCCCTCCCCGTTGTTTAGGAGCAGGCAGCTGACAGCAGCTACTGAATCGGGAACTCAGCAGCTCCCAGCATGCAGGTTTCTGGGGATCCCAGGCACCACCTGCCCTGCATTTGCTGCCTTTGCGTTCACTGCACTTGGCCAGTTTTCCGATACGTTGCAGAGGCCAGACCCAATGTCCATGTGCTCCTCGGATGCCTGCAGCCCAGGTGCTTCCCAGCATAGCTCAGAGCAGTCTCGGTGGTGTAGGGGCTCTGATTTACACCAGCTTGGAGCAGCTGGGGGTGTCCATGTGTCCCCACGCAGCCACATGCAGGTACAGCCCAGTGCTGTTCTCCATACAGGAGCTGCAGATCAGATCTTACAGAATGAATGTAAATCCTCTTGGCCTCTTAGCTCTCTATTTTACCTTCCCCACCATTTGTGCTCCTGGGCATTAGGAATTATTTTAGCTTTATCTTAGTGTGACTTAGAAGCAAATGGGAGAAGGAAGTTGGGAACAGCAGGTAATTTGTGGATACTATTTTTGTTGTGGTAATTACCTGTAGGCTCTGAGACATCTCCACTTATGCTGGAGCCAAGCAGACTGTATTGAAGAAAAGCCATTTCCATCCCAAACAAAAGCCTAACCCTTCTTTTATTTAATACTACTGTAGTAGTTTTGTAGGTGGGAGTATGGTTTTTACTCTGTCTAGTATCCCCTGTGCCTGTGGCTGGCTCTGTAGTGCAAACATGGTACTTCAAGACACTAGCAAAATTAACACTGAATTCTGAGAATAACTCAAGGACTAATCATTAATATTTGCTAAACAAATGATCTGAGATCTTTATTACTTGGCTTCTGGTAGCATGAAGGCATACACTGAAAAGCCTTGTAAAACGCTAAGGCCCACAATCTGGTCTGCTGTACAAGCACAAATCCACTGAAATAAAAAATAGCAGAGGAGTTTCACCTTTGTGGGAAAGCTAATTCCTCGAAAGCTCTGCTTTTATTCAGTAGGTGCTGGCAGTAAAAGATTCTGAAGACATGACACACCAGCCTGCAGAGCACTGCAAACACAGATGGAACTGGCTACTGCCTAGAATTTTTTATTCCGATGCAAAGCTCAAAGATATAGACAAAAAAAGAAGTTGCATTTTTTGTCCCCATTATCACCCAGGTATGGACCTTGGGTAGAGGACTGGGGCTGTTGGTCCTGGAGCTGGCCTCTGGGAAGGCAAAGCATTCAGCAGCCTCCCCTTGAGGACATGAGCTCCTCGTGTGTCTCACCTATATGTGCACAATTTGCTGGCCTAAAAGATCACGCCTGGGAGATCCAGCTCTGCGCATTGTTACCTGGGAGAACAGTGGTGCGTGCTATCTCTGGCCATCTGCCATTTCTCCAGCAGGCTCAGGAACTGTTCCGATCTACAGATATTTCTACCCTTCTTCCTGCATCCCTTACAGAGCAAAATTACTGATCTCTGTTCGAACAAATCTCTGTTTGAAATCTTCAGGGGAAAGAGAGAGTAACATGACAGAGAAGAGGCATGTTACCCCACCAGCCTGTAGAGAATGAATAAATGATGTTTTTGCTAGAGAGATTCCTTTCAGGTTTTGCTCTTGTGTGAAAGATCACAGCTTTTAAAGACAATTGGCAGAGGAAGGCCATTTCGGGTATTTGGCAAGCTAGGTCTCTCACAACCTAACCCTTTCACAACAAAGACTGTCTTGTTTTGAGGAGGTTCTCTCCCTTTTGGAACAGTATGGATCTTATCAGCCTCCACACAATCTATTCTTGGTGGCTTTCCTCTGGGCTACAAATTCTTGTCTGGTTTTACTCGCTCATGGCTAGGTTTTTGATGATATTTATGCACCTAGGAGACAGACTGGCACCTACTGGGCTTCCAAAACTAAAGTAGATGTTCAATTCTTATTGATTTGTTATCTTAACCTGTAGGCATGGCTACACTGTTCGAAAGTCAGTCCCCTCTGTTTAGTCGGTCTTGCAGTGTGAAACTGCACTGTGTCTTGTGCACATTCCCCTGGGCGCTCACAAATGACCTGTGAAAGTGTCCCTCTTTAGGATGACACCAGCTGGAGGTGGTTCAGGATGCGCTCTAGTAAATCATACTTATATTATTATCCAGTTGTCTTCTTAAGAATCACTTCATCTGTTCCATCTTGGCGAGCAAGAGATGACAGACTTTGCACTGCAGTAGGCAGGGAACCTGAGCATAGGTAGGACTGCATGGTATAAACCATGGAACCACCAGGAAGAGGCTGAGCCAGACTTTGGAGATCTCAGTTCAAGACTTTCCACCTTCTCATAGTCTTGTTTTACCTAGGCAGGTGTCTCTCTGCTTCCTACGGTGCCAACAACAGCCTCTCTGAACCAACTGAATACATGACTCTGTCAGAGCAGTAATACCATTATCTGTCAGCTCTTTCTGGAAATCAGTGAAAATTGACTCTATCAAATGTGGAGTTTTAGAGGTTGTAGGTGGAGAACATCCACATTCCCTTTCCTCAACAACCTTGGTAGTGTGATGCTTGAAACACTCGTGTGCACATCCAGGATGTAATGAGAAGCACTCCCACCTGAGACCAGCGTGTGTGAAATGTCTCCATTTCCCTCTGCTCCCACACTGCACACCAATGCCAGTGGTGCCAACAGTTCTGCAGAATGAGCACCAGTGATGCCTCTCCTGCCAGGGTGGAGCGAGTAACACTTTTCCTTGCTGTTAAAGCACCAAACCACTAGGACTGAGTTTTGTAACACACAGGCACAGCTTCAAGGTTCTCAGGCTACTTGGAAGGGAAGGGACAGAGTTCAGAGCAGGGGTTACATACACCCTTGCAAACCTGGCCCCAAGCAGTGTCACCTCATTTGTCAGACCTTCTGGAGAGCAGTGATTTCTGACCTCTAGAAACAGAGTTTAGAGTGTCTTTCCTCTTTGAATCAGTATTTCCTGAAATGCTGATTCACTGCAGGAAGAAGCAAGCAGCACAGGGAGAACAGGAGGAGAATTCACAACAGCTGGGTCAGAAAAGAGAGATAAAGCTTGAATCAATTTAAAGGCATAATCCTGATTTGCCCTGCAAACTTACATGTGAGGGGTTATAATTGCAAGACTGAATTGTCTGTTAGCAAATTTGTCTTCTCAAGTACAAAGTTAATTAAATTACTGTTAAGTAACACAATAACGTATGTCTGTGAGAGATTTATGCTCCAAGAAATAAAAATGTTATTCTCCAAGTTATCCTGCTAAAAAATAGCAAAGTAGGTACTGAAAGGTTCTACATATTTTGGCTGTAAACTCTTCATTTTGACAGCATGGCAAGGTACATGACCAGATTGCTCTCTCCTCTCTTTGTGACATTGAAATTCCACAAATGGCATCTTGCATCAGCGTTACATCATATTAAGTATAATGCAATATTATGAGTCACTGTTATAAATCATGGGCACAGGCCGCATTAGAAGGCTTTTGCAATTCAAGAGCACATCAAGGTGGATTTTTATTCAGCGCTTCTCTTTGGAGGTATACCTGGGTACACTAACTTTGCAGCATATCATCATTCTCTGAATCAGTAGGGTTTTGGTTTTCCCTTCAGCTCTGAGGCTCACAGGAGAAGCACAGTTCGTGTCCAACAGAGTTCCTGCAAATACGGAGCAAAGCTATGAGCAACAAGAAGGTGGTTCTGAAGTGGATCATGCAATGATCATAAAAGACCGAAGTGTTTAGCATTTATCCTTTAGGGAGAACTGTAATAATGTTGAAGTGAAGCACCAGCATTTGGAAAGCAGGGAGTTCAGGAGTTCTCCCGAGCCATTCTGTAAAGCCTACGCTTCTGCCACTCACCCCCCTTGACTTGCTTAGCTTCTCTGACCTCAGAAGGAGATTGCTGCCATACAAATTTCCTGAACTTCTTCCAGTTCTTGCATAGTGTGCAATCACCACACCACTGCAAGAATTTAACTGTTCTCTAGAGGAGACAGCTATTTCTACTTCATTCAGGATACTGTTTACTTTAACTGGCCTATTAGCCTGACTACAAGCAGCAGCACAGAACACAAGCTGTTGCAGATGAACCACTTGAAAGGTTGTAAGCATCTAGCGCATTGTTAGAAAGAAGACAAGACTAGTAAAAGAGGCTGCCAAACAATTTAACTTTTAAAATTTTTCTGACTATAGGCACGAAATTCTGGAGATTTAATAGTTCTGCCTGAACTAAGTGTTGAAGCACGTGAAAACACGGCACTATTCCTGCTTGTGCCCATGGCTCAGTTCAGCTGCCTGCAGCTTGTGGGCTTGCAGCCCCGCTGGGATGGCCCTGCCCCAGGGAGACCTCGACCTTTCAGGGGCACCCCAGGAGTCCAGCAGCTCCTGCAGGAGCTCTGTTTCCAGAAGACCGTCAGGGACGCATACTGCCTGGTACAGTCGGTGTGCCAGGAGGACACGGGGCCCATGGCAAAGCCAGAAGCTTCCTTCCCATGTACCCATCCCAGCTGCAATCTGGCCCTAAGCAACCTCTGCACACACCACAGC